GGGTCGTCAGGGCCAGATCCGGTGGTCTCGGCCCCCCCCCCCGACCCCACACCCACCTTGTCGGGGTCCCCCAGCCCTCGGGTGTCCAGCAGCACCAGGGTGGTGTCGGCCCGGCAGGGTGCGGCAGGCACCACATCCAGATCCCCTTGGTGTGCGCCTGCACCGTGTGGCCCAGGGGGAAGCCTGCAGGGCCGGGAGAGGGGTTGGGGGCGCGGGACCGAAGCCCCGTTAATCCCCTTAACCCCCTCGTTCAACCCCGTTAATTGGCGATGCCTCCGTGGCTCACCGCTACCTCTGCGCCAGCCGGTTCATGAGGAAGGACTTGCCGGTGCGGTTAGCCCGGCCTGGGATGGCCACCACCACCACGGGCTGCCAGATGCCGCGCAGCACCTCCAGCGCACTTGGGATTGAGGCTCAGCTCCCCGTCGGGCCCGTTCTGCACAGGCACAGCGGCTCCTCCATCCTGCTCCTGGCACCAGCAGAAATGAAACCAAAACCCTGGCACCAGCGAATAAAAAGCAGCGCCCCCCCCTCTGTCCTCCTGCCCCCGGCTGACTCAACAGGGAGTGTTGCAGGAAGCACGGCCAAAAGCACGATCGATACCAGTATGGTCAGATCATGCTCCATTTATTGCCCGATAGCCTAACTTTAATGGTGAAATTAACAGGGGTGGACAGTGTTTCACACAAGATTATTGGTCAAGAGCACTCAGACAAACAAGTACAAGACAACAACCCCCTGGTGATAAGCAGTCAGTAGACCTTGTCCTTGGAGCCAGAGGCTGGTAATGTTGGGAATTGGCAGCATACAGGGCCTGGACATGAGTCCATGGAACAATTGTTCGATCTGAGCTTGCCTTAAGCAACCAGGAGTAGGCCTTAAAAAATCTCATGGCCTGCTGTAGCTGAGCAACCAAGCTACCAGAATAACTATGAGAAGATCCCACAACAATGATTCCCACATGCCCAATGAGGAATTCAGAAAAATATTGTTACCAGTAGCTGGCTTCAAGGACAAGGTCTACGTGACTGCTTATCACAAGGGGTTGTTTTCTTGCACACGGGGTTGTTTTCTTGCTGTTGTTGTCTGAGTGCTCTTGACCAATAATCTTGTGTGAAACACTGTCACCCCTGTTAATTTCACCATTAAAGTTAGGCTATTAGGGCAATAAAATGGAGCATGATCTGACCATACTGGTGTCTGTCATGCTTTCGGCCGTGCTTCCTAAAACAATATTTTTCTAAGTTCCTCAGTTGGGCGATGTGGGAACTGTCATGGGAACCTCTCAGAGTGCCCTGGTAGCTTGCTTTGCTCAGCTGCAGCAAGCCGTGGGATCTTTGCTGTTTCAAAAAATCCCTCAACGGGGGAGGGCGGCAGCTGCTCGGCCCTCTCCCGGATCACCTTGATTCTGGGAAACACAAAATTAGAGCCAAAAGGAAAGAATTATTGGAGTTGCAGCGAGGTCACAGCACGCGCCGGATCAGCCGCAGGGCCCCCGACACCGCCACCCGCGTCAGGCCCGGCAGGAAGATATCGGCGGCGATGCCGAGCCCGTCCAGCGCCTGTTGGCGCCACGACGGCTTCTTCATCTCCTCCTTGTCCTCCAGCAGCCTCTGGATCTGCTCCCTCAGCACCTCGGAATCATGCTTGAAGCCTTCCTGCAGCAGCGCCCGGTGCTCCTGCGGCACACGGAGGGGGCTCGGCACCCCCGCCCTGGCCCTCAGCACCACCACCCGCTCCAGGACTGGCAGGAAGGTTTCAGCGTGATGCCGAGCACCTACAGCACCCATTAGTGCTTGGCTTCTTCATCTTCTGCTTGTCCTCCTGCTTCCTCTGGATCAGCTCCCGCAGCAACTTGGCCAGCCTGGAAGCCTAACTGCAGCAGTACCTGGTGCTCCAGCGGCACACGGAGGAAGCTCAGCACCGCTACCATGGCCCCTGATACCACCAGCTGCCCCAGGACCGGCAGGAGATTTTGGGCGGCAATGCCGAGCCCGTCAGCACCGTTGGCGCCACGATGGCTTCTTCATCTCCTCCTTCTCCTCCCGCAGCCTCCGGATCTGCTCCCCCAGCGCCTCGGCCTTCCCGCTTGAAGCCTTCCTGCAGCAGCGCCTGCTGCTCCTGCGGCACACGGAGGGGGCTCGGCATCGCCAGCACAGCCCTCGCACCACCGGCACTGCCGCGCCCTCACACCTACCCTCATCTTGTGCTCGATGACGCCTCCTGCTCCTCCACACATCAACCCCTGCTGGCGGCACAGCTGCTCCTCCAGCTGCCGCTGTGCTCCTCCGGCTGCGCCGCTGCTCCTCCTGCCGCGCCTCCATCGCCCTCATGGCCTCCGCTGCTGCAGCTGCTGCCGCCTCGCTGGCCGCCCGCTTCTTCTCAAGCTCTGACATTGCTGGTCAGCCGCGCACAGCGCCTGCACCAACACCTCGTGCTCCTGCAGGAACTTCTCCAGCACCGCCGCTGCCTGGTGGGTGCAGCCATCAGGGTGCTACCGGCACTGGCACCACGCATCCAGCATCAGCACCGTGTGTCCGGCACCAGCATCGAGCTCACCTTCACTCCCAAGCCAGGCCGCCGGTGGTACTCCTCCCTCAGCTCCCCAGCTGCTCCTGGAAGCGGCGCGACCCCCCGGCACGGCGTACTCCCCGCGGTCCAGGCGCTGCTCCACGTCCCGCCACAGCTCCGCAGCACCGCGCGGCACCGCTCCTCCGAGGCTGCCTCATTGCGCGCGGCAGCAGAATTCCTCCTTGGCCGCCTCCAGCTCGCTCTGCCGGGGCGACGCGTGGATCAGCACATAGGGGGACGCCAACGGTGCCACACCACACCCGTGCCGTGGCCCACCACCCACCATCAGCTGGAGCTGGTAGCGCTGCTCCGTGTCAGCAAAGGACACACGCGCCATTGCAAGAGGTTGAGGGCACGGCCCTTGCAGCGCTGGTGCGCGTCCCCAGCTCCTCCTGCGAGGCCGTGGCAGCTTCAGCTCCTGCTCCATGAGCTGCTGGTACTCGGCCACCGCCGCCGCCACCGCTGCCCTGTTCTCGGCCGCCGCCAGCGCCGTACCGCGCTCTCCAGGCACAGCACGCCGCTGCTGCGATGGCCTCCACGTACCTCTCCGCCAGGCTCGCCAGCACTGCCGGGAGGCAACAGCGGTGTCACTCCTATGGCATGCCAACGGGGCCGCCCGGTGCCACACCGCCACCGCCACTCACTCCTGCCCGTCACCGCCGCCCGCCCTGGCAGCGCCTTCACCGGGGCCGTGTCCCAGATGTGCCGGCAGAAGGCGTCGGCCTGCTGCAGGAATCTGGGGCGCAGCTGCCCCTCCTCGAGCTCCTCCAGGCGCGTCATCGCCTCGGGCTCGGCCGGCGGCGGCAGCACGAAGCACTTGCGGTTGGGGAAGAAGTTGCGCAGGCAGCGCCGCAGCTCGTTCTGCTCCTGCACCACGCGGCTGCTCCCTGTGGCACGGGGACACCGTCAGGATTCGGCGCTCTGCTGTCACCCCAAATCAGCCCTGTGGCACCACCGCCGCCGTACCGGTCCCGCAGGCGCAGCACGTGCTCCAGGTACTCGTCCTCGTTGACGCGCCGCCCGTCCACCGACAGCTCCAGCACGAAATCCCGCACGGCCCAGATGAAGCCGGGGAAGAAGTGCACGAAGTCGGCCGCCACCGTGTCCCCGCTGTCCCCTGCCCGCACCCGCACGCGCTCCGTCAGCGCCGTCACCACCCTGCGGGGAGCAGCAGTGCCGTCATTGTGCCAGTACCATGACAGAGCCGACACCGCCGAGCCCGCCCGAGCCCCCAGTACCCGAGGGTGTCCAGCGCCTGCTGGTCGATGGTGCCGGTGCTGTTGTACACCAGGGTGCTGGAGAGCAGCAGCGCCAGCGTGAAGATCCAGGCGTCGTTACGGCTGTCACCCTACACCCGGGGGGGGGTCATCAGGGCCGGATCCGGTGGTCTCGGGCTCCCCCCCGACCCCACACCCACCTTGTTGGGGTCCCCCAGCCCCTCGGTGTCCAGCAGCACCAGGGTGGTGTCGGCCCGGCGCGGGTGCGGCAGGCACCACATCCAGATCCCCTTGGTGTGCGCCTGCACCGTGTGGCCCAGGGGGAAGCCTGCAGGGCCGGGAGAGGGGTCGGGAGGGCGTTAATGTCGTTAACGACCTCCTCATTATCCCCATTAACCTCCTCACCAACCCCGTTGGCTCACCGGTGCGCCGCTGTGCCAGCCGGTTCATGAGGAAGGACTTGCCGGTGCGGTAGCGCCCGGCAATGGCCACCACCACCACGGGCTGCCAGATGCCGCGCAGCACCTTCAGCACCTTGGGATTGAGGCTCAACTTCCCGTTGGGCCCGTTGCGCACCAGGCACAGTGGCTGCTCCATTCCTGCTCCTGGCACCAGCAGAAATGAAACCAAAACCCCAGCACCAGCGAATAAAAGCAGCGCCCCCCCCCGTCTGTCCTCCTGCCCCCGGCTGACTCAACAGGGAGTGTTGCAGGACGCACGGCCAAAAGCACGATCGATACCAGTATGGTCAGATCATGCTCCATTTTATTGCCCCGATAGCCTAACTTTAATGGTGAACTTAACAGGGGTGGACAGTGTTTCACACAAGATTATTGGTCAAGAGCACTCAGACAAACAAGTACAAGACAACAACCCCCTGGTGATAAGCAGTCACGTAGACCTTGTCCTTGGAGCCAGAGGCTGGTAATGTTGGGAATTGGCATACAGGGCCTGGACATGAGTCCATGGAACAATTGTTCGATCTGAGCTTGCCTTAAGCAACCAGGAGTAGGCCTTAAAAAATCTCATGGCCTGCTGTAGCTGAGCAAACCAAGCTACCAGAATAACTATGAGAAGATCCCACAACAATGATTCCCACATTGCCCAATTGAGGAATTCAGAAAAATATTGTTACCAGTAGCTGGCTTCAAGGACAAGGTCTACGTGACTGCTTATCACAAGGGGTTGTTTTCTTGCACACGGGGTTGTTTTCTTGCTGTTGTTTGTCTGAGTGCTCTTGACCAATAATCTTGTGTGAAACACTGTCCACCCCTGTTAATTTCACCATTAAAGTTAGGCTATTAGGGCAATAAAATGGAGCATGATCTGACCATACTGGTGTCTGTCATGCTTTCGGCCGTGCTTCCTAAAACAATATTTTTCTAAGTTCCTCAGTTGGGCGATGTGGGAACTGTCATGGGAACCTCTCAGAGTTGCCCTGGTAGCTTGCTTTGCTCAGCTGCAGCAAGCCGTGGGATCTTTGCTGTTTCAAAAAATCCCTCAACGGGGGAGGGCGGCAGCTGCTCGGCCCTCTCCCGGATCACCTTGATTTCTGGGAAACACAAAATTAGAGCCAAAAGGAAAGAATTTATTGGAGTTGCAGCGAGGTCACAGCACGCGCCGGATCAGCCGCAGGGCCCCCGACACCGCCACCCGCGTCAGGCCCGGCAGGAAGATATCGGCGGCGATGCCGAGCCCGTCCAGCGCCTGTTGGCGCCACGACGGCTTCTTCATCTCCTCCTTGTCCTCCTGCAGCCTCTGGATCTGCTCCCTCAGCACCTCGGAATCATGCTTGAAGCCTTCCTGCAGCAGCGCCCGGTGCTCCTGCGGCACACGGAGGGGGCTCGGCACCCCCGCCCTGGCCCTCAGCACCACCACCCGCTCCAGGACTAGCAGGAAGGTTTCAGCGGTGATGCCGAGCACCTACAGCACCCATTAGTGCTATGGCTTCTTCATCTTCTGCTTGTCCTCCTGCTTCCTCTGGATCAGCTCCCGCAGCAACTTGGCCAAGCACTGGAAGCCTACGTGCAGCAGTACCTGGTGCTCCAGCGGCACACGGAGGAAGCTCAGCACCGCTACCATGGCCCCTGATACCACCAGCTGCCCCAGGACCGGCAGGAGATTTTGGGCGGCAGTGCTGAGCCTTTCCAGCAACCATTGGTGCCATGACGGCTTCTTCATCTCCTCCTTGTCCTCCTGCAGCCTCCGGATCTGCTCCCGCAGCGCCTCGCCCTCGCGCTTGAAGCCTTCCTGCAGCAGCGCCTGCTGCTCCTGCGGCACACGGAGGGGGCTCGGCACTGCTGCTGTGGCCCCCGGCACTGCCAGCACCGCCGCGCCCTCACACCTACCCGCAGCTTGAGCTCGATGACGCGCTCCTGCTCCTCCAGCATCGCCTGCTGTTCGCGCTGCAGCTGCTCCTCCAGCTGCCGCTGGTGCTCCTCCCGGCTGCGCCGCTGCTCCTCCAGCCGCGCCTCCATCGCCCTCATGGCCTCCGCTGCTGCAGCTGCTGCCGCCTCGCTGGCCGCCCGCTTCTTCTCAAGCTCTGACATTTGCTGGTCGGCCGCGCGCAGCGCCTGCACCAACACCTCGTGCTCCTGCAGGAACTTCTCCAGCACCGCCGCTGCCTGGTGGGTGCAGCCATCAGGGTGCTACCGGCACCGGCACCACGCATCCAGCATCAGCACCGTGTGTCCGGCACCAGCATCGAGCTCACCTTCACTCCCAAGCCAGGCCGCCGGTGGTACTCCTCCCTCAGCTCCTCCAGGTGCTCCTGGAAGCGGCGCGACCCCCCTGGCACGGCGTACTCCCCGCGGTCCAGGCGCTGCTCCACGTCCCGCCACAGCTCCCGCAGCACCGCGCGGCACCGCTCCTCCGAGGCCGCCTCATTGCGCCGGCAGAACTCCTCCTTGGCCGCCTGCAGCTCGCTCTGCCGGGGCGACGCGTGGCTCAGCACGTAGGGGGACGCCACGTGCCACACCACACCGCGCCGTACCACCACCCACCATCAGCTGGCACTGGTAGCGCTGCTCCTTGTCAGCAAAGACACGCGCCATGAAGAGGGCGAGGGCACGGCCCTTGCAGCGCTGGTGCGCGTCCCCCAGCTCCTCCTGAGAGGCCGTGGGCAGCTTCAGCTCCTGCTCCATGAGCTGCTGGTACTCGGCCACCGCCGCCGCCACCGCCGCCCTGTTCTCGGCCGCCGCCATCGCCGTCACCGCGCTCTCCAGGCACAGCACGCCGCTGCTGCCGATGGCCTCCACGTACCTCTCCGCCAGGCTTGCCAGCACTGCCGGGAGGCAACAGCGGTGTCACTCCTATGGCATGCCAACGGGGCCACCCGGTGCCACACCGCCACTGCCACTCACTCCTGCCCGTCACCGCCGCCCGCCCCGGCAGCGCCTTCACCGGGGCCGTGTCCCAGATGTGCCGGCAGAAGGCGTCGGCCTGCTGCAGGAATCTGGGGCGCAGCTGCCCCTCCTCGAGCTCCTCCAGGTGCTTCATCGCCTCGGGCTCAGCCGGCAGTGGCAGCACGAAGCACTTGCGGTTGGGGAAGAAGTTGCGCAGGCAGCGCCGCAGCTCGTTCTGCTCCTGCACCACGCGGCTGCTCCCTGTGGCACGGGGACACCGTCAGGATTCGGCGCTCTGCTGTCACCCCAAATCAGCCCTGTGGCACCACCGCCGCCGTACCGGTCCGCAGGCGCAGCACGTGCTCCAGGTACTCGTCCTCGTTGACGCGCCGCCCGTCCACCGACAGCTCCAGCATGAAATCCCGCACGGCCCAGATGAAGCCGGGGAAGAAGCGCACGAAGTCGGCCGCTGCGGCGTCCCCGCTGTCCCCTGCCCGCACCCGCACGCGCTCCGTCAGCGCCGTCACCACCCTGCGGGGAGCAGCAGTGCCGTCATTGTGCCAGTACCATGACAGAGCCGACACCGCCGAGCCCGCCCCGAGCCCCCAGTACCCGAGGGTGTCCAGCGCCTGCTGGTCGATGGTGCCGGTGCTGTTGTACACCAGGGTGCTGGAGAGCAGCAGCGCCAGCGTGAAGATCCAGGCGTCGTTACGGCTGTCACCCTACACCCGGGGGGGGGTCGTCAGGGCCAGATCCGGTGGTCTCGGCCCCCCCCCCCGACCCCACACCCACCTTGTCGGGGTCCCCCAGCCCCTCGGTGTCCAGCAGCACCAGGGTGGTGTCGGCCCGGCACGGGTGCGGCAGGCACCACATCCAGATCCCCTTGGTGTGCGCCTGCACCGTGTGGCCCAGGGGGAAGCCTGCAGGGCCGGGAGAGGGGTTGGGAGGGCGAGCGGGACCCGAAGGCCCCGTTAATCCTCCCTTAACCCCCTCGTTAACCCCGTTAATTGGCGATGCCTCCGTTGGCTCACCGCTACGCCTCTGCGCCAGCCGGTTCATGAGGAAGGACTTGCCGGTGCGGTAGCGCCCGGCGATGGCCACCACCACCACGGGCTGCCCGATGCCGCGCAGCACCTCCAGCGCCTTGGGATTGAGGCTCAGCTCCCCGTCGGGCCCGTTCTGCACCAGGCACAGCGGCTCCTCCATTCCTGCTCCTGGCACCAGCAGAAATGAAACCAAAACCCTGGCACCAGCGAATAAAAAGCAGCGCCCCCCCCTCTGTCCTCCTGCCCCCGGCTGACTCAACAGGGAGTGTTGCAGGAAGCACGGCCAAAAGCACGATCGATACCAGTATGGTCAGATCATGCTCCATTTTATTGCCCCGATAGCCTAACTTTAATGGTGAAATTAACAGGGGTGGACAGTGTTTCACACAAGATTATTGGTCAAGAGCACTCAGACAAACAAGTACAAGACAACAACCCCCTGGTGATAAGCAGTCACGTAGACCTTGTCCTTGGAGCCAGAGGCTGGTAATGTTGGGAATTGGCATACAGGGCCTGGACATGAGTCCATGGAACAATTGTTCGATCTGAGCTTGCCTTAAGCAACCAGGAGTAGGCCTTAAAAAATCTCATGGCCTGCTGTAGCTGAGCAAACCAAGCTACCAGAATAACTATGAGAAGATCCCACAACAATGATTCCCACATTGCCCAATTGAGGAATTCAGAAAAATATTGTTACCAGTAGCTGGCTTCAAGGACAAGGTCTACGTGACTGCTTATCACAAGGGGTTGTTTTCTTGCACACGGGGTTGTTTTCTTGCTGTTGTTTGTCTGAGTGCTCTTGACCAATAATCTTGTGTGAAACACTGTCCACCCCTGTTAATTTCACCATTAAAGTTAGGCTATTAGGGCAATAAAATGGAGCATGATCTGACCATACTGGTGTCTGTCATGCTTTCGGCCGTGCTTCCTAAAACAATATTTTTCTAAGTTCCTCAGTTGGGCGATGTGGGAACTGTCATGGGAACCTCTCAGAGTTGCCCTGGTAGCTTGCTTTGCTCAGCTGCAGCAAGCCGTGGGATCTTTGCTGTTTCAAAAAATCCCTCAACGGGGGAGGGCGGCAGCTGCTCGGCCCTCTCCCGGATCACCTTGATTTCTGGGAAACACAAAATTAGAGCCAAAAGGAAAGAATTTATTGGAGTTGCAGCGAGGTCACAGCACGCGCCGGATCAGCCGCAGGGCCCCCGACACCGCCACCCGCGTCAGGCCCGGCAGGAAGATATCGGCGGCGATGCCGAGCCCGTCCAGCGCCTGTTGGCGCCACGACGGCTTCTTCATCTCCTCCTTGTCCTCCCGCAGCCTCTGGATCTGCTCCCTCAGCACCTCGGAATCATGCTTGAAGCCTTCCTGCAGCAGCGCCCGGTGCTCCTGCGGCACACGGAGGGGGCTCGGCACCCCCGCCCTGGCCCTCAGCACCACCACCCGCTCCAGGACTGGCAGGAAGGTTTCAGCGGTGATGCCGAGCACCTACAGCACCCATTAGTGCTATGGCTTCTTCATCTTCTGCTTGTCCTCCTGCTTCCTCTGGATCAGCTCCCGCAGCAACTTGGCCAAGCACTGGAAGCCTAACTGCAGCAGTACCTGGTGCTCCAGCGGCACACGGAGGAAGCTCAGCACCGCTACCATGGCCCCTGATACCACCAGCTGCCCCAGGACCGGCAGGAGATTTTGGGCGGCAATGCCGAGCCCGTCCAGCACCCGTTGGCGCCACGATGGCTTCTTCATCTCCTCCTTCTCCTCCCGCAGCCTCCGGATCTGCTCCCCCAGCGCCTCGGCCTCCCGCTTGAAGCCTTCCTGCAGCAGCGCCTGCTGCTCCTGCGGCACACGGAGGGGGCTCGGCATCGCCAGCACAGCCCTCGGCACCACCGGCACTGCCGCGCCCTCACACCTACCCTCATCTTGTGCTCGATGACGCGCTCCTGCTCCTCCACCATCACCCCCTGCTGGCGGCACAGCTGCTCCTCCAGCTGCCGCTGGTGCTCCTCCCGGCTGCGCCGCTGCTCCTCCTGCCGCGCCTCCATCGCCCTCATGGCCTCCGCTGCTGCAGCTGCTGCCGCCTCGCTGGCCGCCCGCTTCTTCTCAAGCTCTGACATCTGCTGGTCAGCCGCGCACAGCGCCTGCACCAACACCTCGTGCTCCTGCAGGAACTTCTCCAGCACCGCCGCTGCCTGGTGGGTGCAGCCATCAGGGTGCTACCGGCACTGGCACCACGCATCCAGCATCAGCACCGTGTGTCCGGCACCAGCATCGAGCTCACCTTCACTCCCAAGCCAGGCCGCCGGTGGTACTCCTCCCTCAGCTCCCCCAGCTGCTCCTGGAAGCGGCGCGACCCCCCCGGCACGGCGTACTCCCCGCGGTCCAGGCGCTGCTCCACGTCCCGCCACAGCTCCCGCAGCACCGCGCGGCACCGCTCCTCCGAGGCTGCCTCATTGCGCCGGCAGAATTCCTCCTTGGCCGCCTCCAGCTCGCTCTGCCGGGGCGACGCGTGGATCAGCACATAGGGGGACGCCACGTGCCACACCACACCGTGCCGTGCCACCACCCACCATCAGCTGGAGCTGGTAGCGCTGCTCCTTGTCAGCAAAGACACGCGCCATGAAGAGGTTGAGGGCACGGCCCTTGCAGCGCTGGTGCGCGTCCCCCAGCTCCTCCTGCGAGGCCGTGGGCAGCTTCAGCTCCTGCTCCATGAGCTGCTGGTACTCGGCCACCGCCGCCGCCACCGCTGCCCTGTTCTCGGCCGCCGCCAGCGCCGTCACCGCGCTCTCCAGGCACAGCACGCCGCTGCTGCCGATGGCCTCCACGTACCTCTCCGCCAGGCTCGCCAGCACTGCCGGGAGGCAACAGCGGTGTCACTCCTATGGCATGCCAACGGGGCCGCCCGGTGCCACACCGCCACCGCCACTCACTCCTGCCCGTCACCGCCGCCCGCCCTGGCAGCGCCTTCACCGGGGCCGTGTCCCAGATGTGCCGGCAGAAGGCGTCGGCCTGCTGCAGGAATCTGGGGCGCAGCTGCCCCTCCTCGAGCTCCTCCAGGCGCGTCATCGCCTCGGGCTCGGCCGGCGGCGGCAGCACGAAGCACTTGCGGTTGGGGAAGAAGTTGCGCAGGCAGCGCCGCAGCTCGTTCTGCTCCTGCACCACGCGGCTGCTCCCTGTGGCACGGGGACACCGTCAGGATTCGGCGCTCTGCTGTCACCCCAAATCAGCCCTGTGGCACCACCGCCGCCGTACCGGTCCGCAGGCGCAGCACGTGCTCCAGGTACTCGTCCTCGTTGACGCGCCGCCCGTCCACCGACAGCTCCAGCACGAAATCCCGCACGGCCCAGATGAAGCCGGGGAAGAAGTGCACGAAGTCGGCCGCCACCGTGTCCCCGCTGTCCCCTGCCCGCACCCGCACGCGCTCCGTCAGCGCCGTCACCACCCTGCGGGGAGCAGCAGTGCCGTCATTGTGCCAGTACCATGACAGAGCCGACACCGCCGAGCCCGCCCCGAGCCCCCAGTACCCGAGGGTGTCCAGCGCCTGCTGGTCGATGGTGCCGGTGCTGTTGTACACCAGGGTGCTGGAGAGCAGCAGCGCCAGCGTGAAGATCCAGGCGTCGTTACGGCTGTCACCCTACACCCGGGGGGGGGTCATCAGGGCCGGATCCGGTGGTCTCGGGCTCCCCCCCGACCCCACACCCACCTTGTTGGGGTCCCCCAGCCCCTCGGTGTCCAGCAGCACCAGGGTGGTGTCGGCCCGGCGCGGGTGCGGCAGGCACCACATCCAGATCCCCTTGGTGTGCGCCTGCACCGTGTGGCCCAGGGGGAAGCCTGCAGGGCCGGGAGAGGGGTCGGGAGGGCGTTAATGTCGTTAACGACCTCCTCATTATCCCCATTAACCTCCTCACCAACCCCGTTGGCTCACCGGTGCGCCGCTGTGCCAGCCGGTTCATGAGGAAGGACTTGCCGGTGCGGTAGCGCCCGGCAATGGCCACCACCACCACGGGCTGCCAGATGCCGCGCAGCACCTTCAGCACCTTGGGATTGAGGCTCAACTTCCCGTTGGGCCCGTTGCGCACCAGGCACAGTGGCTGCTCCATTCCTGCTCCTGGCACCAGCAGAAATGAAACCAAAACCCCAGCACCAGCGAATAAAAAGCAGCGCCCCCCCCGTCTGTCCTCCTGCCCCCGGCTGACTCAACAGGGAGTGTTGCAGGACGCACGGCCAAAAGCACGATCGATACCAGTATGGTCAGATCATGCTCCATTTTATTGCCCCGATAGCCTAACTTTAATGGTGAACTTAACAGGGGTGGACAGTGTTTCACACAAGATTATTGGTCAAGAGCACTCAGACAAACAAGTACAAGACAACAACCCCCTGGTGATAAGCAGTCACGTAGACCTTGTCCTTGGAGCCAGAGGCTGGTAATGTTGGGAATTGGCATACAGGGCCTGGACATGAGTCCATGGAACAATTGTTCGATCTGAGCTTGCCTTAAGCAACCAGGAGTAGGCCTTAAAAAATCTCATGGCCTGCTGTAGCTGAGCAAACCAAGCTACCAGAATAACTATGAGAAGATCCCACAACAATGATTCCCACATTGCCCAATTGAGGAATTCAGAAAAATATTGTTACCAGTAGCTGGCTTCAAGGACAAGGTCTACGTGACTGCTTATCACAAGGGGTTGTTTTCTTGCACACGGGGTTGTTTTCTTGCTGTTGTTTGTCTGAGTGCTCTTGACCAATAATCTTGTGTGAAACACTGTCCACCCCTGTTAATTTCACCATTAAAGTTAGGCTATTAGGGCAATAAAATGGAGCATGATCTGACCATACTGGTGTCTGTCATGCTTTCGGCCGTGCTTCCTAAAACAATATTTTTCTAAGTTCCTCAGTTGGGCGATGTGGGAACTGTCATGGGAACCTCTCAGAGTTGCCCTGGTAGCTTGCTTTGCTCAGCTGCAGCAAGCCGTGGGATCTTTGCTGTTTCAAAAAATCCCTCAACGGGGGAGGGCGGCAGCTGCTCGGCCCTCTCCCGGATCACCTTGATTTCTGGGAAACACAAAATTAGAGCCAAAAGGAAAGAATTTATTGGAGTTGCAGCGAGGTCACAGCACGCGCCGGATCAGCCGCAGGGCCCCCGACACCGCCACCCGCGTCAGGCCCGGCAGGAAGATATCGGCGGCGATGCCGAGCCCGTCCAGCGCCTGTTGGCGCCACGACGGCTTCTTCATCTCCTCCTTGTCCTCCTGCAGCCTCTGGATCTGCTCCCTCAGCACCTCGGAATCATGCTTGAAGCCTTCCTGCAGCAGCGCCCGGTGCTCCTGCGGCACACGGAGGGGGCTCGGCACCCCCGCCCTGGCCCTCAGCACCACCACCCGCTCCAGGACTAGCAGGAAGGTTTCAGCGGTGATGCCGAGCACCTACAGCACCCATTAGTGCTATGGCTTCTTCATCTTCTGCTTGTCCTCCTGCTTCCTCTGGATCAGCTCCCGCAGCAACTTGGCCAAGCACTGGAAGCCTACGTGCAGCAGTACCTGGTGCTCCAGCGGCACACGGAGGAAGCTCAGCACCGCTACCATGGCCCCTGATACCACCAGCTGCCCCAGGACCGGCAGGAGATTTTGGGCGGCAGTGCTGAGCCTTTCCAGCAACCATTGGTGCCATGACGGCTTCTTCATCTCCTCCTTGTCCTCCTGCAGCCTCCGGATCTGCTCCCGCAGCGCCTCGCCCTCGCGCTTGAAGCCTTCCTGCAGCAGCGCCTGCTGCTCCTGCGGCACACGGAGGGGGCTCGGCACTGCTGCTGTGGCCCCCGGCACTGCCAGCACCGCCGCGCCCTCACACCTACCCGCAGCTTGAGCTCGATGACGCGCTCCTGCTCCTCCAGCATCGCCTGCTGTTCGCGCTGCAGCTGCTCCTCCAGCTGCCGCTGGTGCTCCTCCCGGCTGCGCCGCTGCTCCTCCAGCCGCGCCTCCATCGCCCTCATGGCCTCCGCTGCTGCAGCTGCTGCCGCCTCGCTGGCCGCCCGCTTCTTCTCAAGCTCTGACATTTGCTGGTCGGCCGCGCGCAGCGCCTGCACCAACACCTCGTGCTCCTGCAGGAACTTCTCCAGCACCGCCGCTGCCTGGTGGGTGCAGCCATCAGGGTGCTACCGGCACCGGCACCACGCATCCAGCATCAGCACCGTGTGTCCGGCACCAGCATCGAGCTCACCTTCACTCCCAAGCCAGGCCGCCGGTGGTACTCCTCCCTCAGCTCCTCCAGGTGCTCCTGGAAGCGGCGCGACCCCCCTGGCACGGCGTACTCCCCGCGGTCCAGGCGCTGCTCCACGTCCCGCCACAGCTCCCGCAGCACCGCGCGGCACCGCTCCTCCGAGGCCGCCTCATTGCGCCGGCAGAACTCCTCCTTGGCCGCCTGCAGCTCGCTCTGCCGGGGCGACGCGTGGCTCAGCACGTAGGGGGACGCCACGTGCCACACCACACCGCGCCGTACCACCACCCACCATCAGCTGGCACTGGTAGCGCTGCTCCTTGTCAGCAAAGACACGCGCCATGAAGAGGGCGAGGGCACGGCCCTTGCAGCGCTGGTGCGCGTCCCCCAGCTCCTCCTGAGAGGCCGTGGGCAGCTTCAGCTCCTGCTCCATGAGCTGCTGGTACTCGGCCACCGCCGCCGCCACCGCCGCCCTGTTCTCGGCCGCCGCCATCGCCGTCACCGCGCTCTCCAGGCACAGCACGCCGCTGCTGCCGATGGCCTCCACGTACCTCTCCGCCAGGCTTGCCAGCACTGCCGGGAGGCAACAGCGGTGTCACTCCTATGGCATGCCAACGGGGCCACCCGGTGCCACACCGCCACTGCCACTCACTCCTGCCCGTCACCGCCGCCCGCCCCGGCAGCGCCTTCACCGGGGCCGTGTCCCAGATGTGCCGGCAGAAGGCGTCGGCCTGCTGCAGGAATCTGGGGCGCAGCTGCCCCTCCTCGAGCTCCTCCAGGTGCTTCATCGCCTCGGGCTCAGCCGGCAGTGGCAGCACGAAGCACTTGCGGTTGGGGAAGAAGTTGCGCAGGCAGCGCCGCAGCTCGTTCTGCTCCTGCACCACGCGGCTGCTCCCTGTGGCACGGGGACACCGTCAGGATTCGGCGCTCTGCTGTCACCCCAAATCAGCCCTGTGGCACCACCGCCGCCGTACCGGTCCGCAGGCGCAGCACGTGCTCCAGGTACTCGTCCTCGTTGACGCGCCGCCCGTCCACCGACAGCTCCAGCATGAAATCCCGCACGGCCCAGATGAAGCCGGGGAAGAAGCGCACGAAGTCGGCCGCTGCGGCGTCCCCGCTGTCCCCTGCCCGCACCCGCACGCGCTCCGTCAGCGCCGTCACCACCCTGCGGGGAGCAGCAGTGCCGTCATTGTGCCAGTACCATGACAGAGCCGACACCGCCGAGCCCGCCCCGAGCCCCCAGTACCCGAGGGTGTCCAGCGCCTGCTGGTCGATGGTGCCGGTGCTGTTGTACACCAGGGTGCTGGAGAGCAGCAGCGCCAGCGTGAAGATCCAGGCGTCGTTACGGCTGTCACCCTACACCCGGGGGGGGGTCGTCAGGGCCAGATCCGGTGGTCTCGGCCCCCCCCCCCGACCCCACACCCACCTTGTCGGGGTCCCCCAGCCCCTCGGTGTCCAGCAGCACCAGGGTGGTGTCGGCCCGGCACGGGTGCGGCAGGCACCACATCCAGATCCCCTTGGTGTGCGCCTGCACCGTGTGGCCCAGGGGGAAGCCTGCAGGGCCGGGAGAGGGGTTGGGAGGGCGAGCGGGACCCGAAGGCCCCGTTAATCCTCCCTTAACCCCCTCGTTAACCCCGTTAATTGGCGATGCCTCCGTTGGCTCACCGCTACGCCTCTGCGCCAGCCGGTTCATGAGGAAGGACTTGCCGGTGCGGTAGCGCCCGGCGATGGCCACCACCACCACGGGCTGCCCGATGCCGCGCAGCACCTCCAGCGCCTTGGGATTGAGGCTCAGCTCCCCGTCGGGCCCGTTCTGCACCAGGCACAGCGGCTCCTCCATTCCTGCTCCTGGCACCAGCAGAAATGAAACCAAAACCCTGGCACCAGCGAATAAAAAGCAGCGCCCCCCCCTCTGTCCTCCTGCCCCCGGCTGACTCAACAGGGAGTGTTGCAGGAAGCACGGCCAAAAGCACGATCGATACCAGTATGGTCAGATCATGCTCCATTTTATTGCCCCGATAGCCTAACTTTAATGGTGAAATTAACAGGGGTGGACAGTGTTTCACACAAGATTATTGGTCAAGAGCACTCAGACAAACAAGTACAAGACAACAACCCCCTGGTGATAAGCAGTCACGTAGACCTTGTCCTTGGAGCCAGAGGCTGGTAATGTTGGGAATTGGCATACAGGGCCTGGACATGAGTCCATGGAACAATTGTTCGATCTGAGCTTGCCTTAAGCAACCAGGAGTAGGCCTTAAAAAATCTCATGGCCTGCTGTAGCTGAGCAAACCAAGCTACCAGAATAACTATGAGAAGATCCCACAACAATGATTCCCACATTGCCCAATTGAGGAATTCAGAAAAATATTGTTACCAGTAGCTGGCTTCAAGGACAAGGTCTACGTGACTGCTTATCACAAGGGGTTGTTTTCTTGCACACGGGGTTGTTTTCTTGCTGTTGTTTGTCTGAGTGCTCTTGACCAATAATCTTGTGTGAAACACTGTCCACCCCTGTTAATTTCACCATTAAAGTTAGGCTATTAGGGCAATAAAATGGAGCATGATCTGACCATACTGGTGTCTGTCATGCTTTCGGCCGTGCTTCCTAAAACAATATTTTTCTAAGTTCCTCAGTTGGGCGATGTGGGAACTGTCATGGGAACCTCTCAGAGTTGCCCTGGTAGCTTGCTTTGCTCAGCTGCAGCAAGCCGTGGGATCTTTGCTGTTTCAAAAAATCCCTCAACGGGGGAGGGCGGCAGCTGCTCGGCCCTCTCCCGGATCACCTTGATTTCTGGGAAACACAAAATTAGAGCCAAAAGGAAAGAATTTATTGGAGTTGCAGCGAGGTCACAGCACGCGCCGGATCAGCCGCAGGGCCCCCGACACCGCCACCCGCGTCAGGCCCGGCAGGAAGATATCGGCGGCGATGCCGAGCCCGTCCAGCGCCTGTTGGCGCCACGACGGCTTCTTCATCTCCTCCTTGTCCTCCCGCAGCCTCTGGATCTGCTCCCTCAGCACCTCGGAATCATGCTTGAAGCCTTCCTGCAGCAGCGCCCGGTGCTCCTGCGGCACACGGAGGGGGCTCGGCACCCCCGCCCTGGCCCTCAGCACCACCACCCGCTCCAGGACTGGCAGGAAGGTTTCAGCGGTGATGCCGAGCACCTACAGCACCCATTAGTGCTATGGCTTCTTCATCTTCTGCTTGTCCT